AAAAAAAAAAGAAGAAATTGGATGTGATCTGCCAGGTTTTTCTGCTGTTGTGATTTGTAGGGAATTCTGTCAGGATGATTGGTGTTTTATATTGAAATTTATTTGACTTGATTTTAATTTCATGATAGTTTAATTCTGTTTTAAGGGTTGGGTGGGTTAGTGTGAGGAGTATGGTATTGTTTTAACTTATTATATTTTAATCTGTTGTATGCCGCCCCGATTGCCAAGCAGAGGGGCGGGTTATAAATAAAAATTATTATTATTATTATTATTATTATTATTATTATTATTATTATTATTTCTCAGAAACCCACGTTGACTTTTTTGTGATTATGGCATTCCCTTCTAAATGTTCACAGACTCTCTATTTAAAGATCTGCTCTAGAATCTTTCCTGATATTGATGCCAAACTAACTGGGTGATAGTTGTTGGGATCCTCTTTTTTTCCCTTTTTGAAGATGCAGACAGCATTTGCCCTTCTCCAGTCTGCTAAGACCTCTCCTGGAGTACAAAATCCTCAAATATTATTGTCAGTGGCTCTGAGATTGATTATGCCAGTTCTTTTAATAATTTGGATGCAGTTTTCTGTGTCCATAACTTCAGAAATGAACAACAATGTCATCTCTATAATAGTGCAAACTTCATCGGAAGTTTCATGGCCATTCTGAAGCAAGATTCAAATATATGACAGACTATCCCATAATCACAGTTTTTAGCAAAGGATGCTAGAAATGGTTGTTTAGTTTCACAAGGATTATATCCTGGAAATTCATATAAGAATATCTATATGGGTATCTCTAAAAGGTATTCAGATGTTTGTTGGTTTGATAGCAAACATAATTTTCACAAATAATTTTCAAATTATTTGTTACTCAATGTCATGTTCCTATATTTAACTGCAAATGTAAATATGTAAAAATGTGTCAGGGACTGCTGAAAAAAAAAATAAGTTGCATATTTATCTGCCCATGTTTTCTTTTTATTGTTTGGTTTTCATTTATGGAATAATAGGAACTATAATGTGGATCTGTTCCAGTTATGGGACATATACAATTTATATATGTTTTGTTATATTATATAGGAGTGAGTGTATAGACAGATAAACAGAGAGCCAGACAAGACATGAAGGCAGGCAAACAAAAATATATTCATAGTAGCCAAATAGTAACATGATGGTAAGAATGACAAAAATGATAATGAAGCAGGGAATATGAGCACAGAAGACAGAAATGATGGATCTTTTGCTCCCATTAATCCTTGAAAGAAAAATGAATTTTCATAAAGCAGATCTAGTCAATCCATGATTTTGGATATAAATAAATTATTGTTGAATTATGGATGGGTTATACCAGGGGTAGGCAACCTTTCCCCTTTAAGGGCTGAGGGGAAGCCTCAGCCATGTTGGCCAATAGTCCCATGTTGGCCAATAGCTCCTGGGATTCTGGGAGCTGAAGTCCCTCGGCCCTTAAAGGGGAAAGGTTGCCTACCCCTGAGTTATACAGTCAAAGGAGAAATATAGAGATTTGTGTGTGGAAATTTCCTGATGACAACAACATCTAGAGAAACAAAGATAACTTGACAGCAGGT